TGGGGGTTGGCGGCTTCTCCAGACAGCCTTGGCTCTTCTGCATCATTCTCAGGTCTATGTCTTGAGGCAGCCGACATCAAGGGATTAGGAATTTTTTGTTGTCGGGAAAGATTAAGAACCAATTCAAAGCAAAAAATGGTATGTAGGCAAATTTCCACAATACTTTTTGGAATTTTTCTTTTGTGAATTCTCCACTCTCTCCCTAGGCACCTCTTGAGGTTTTTGTTATTTCTAGCTAGTTTATGAAGAATACTGTTAGGTTTCTCTTGAATAATCATAGCGATGATGCAAAATAGCACCACGTGCTCCTCCTTGATATAGAACATTCTAAAACCCAACCACTGTTCTAAGCACTTGGAGCATCTTCATTTATTTAATCCTCCTAGGAACCCTTTGAGATGATACTCTCGTTCACATGGTCTGCACCATTTTACAGATGAGTAAATGGAGGCCTTGGGAGGTTAAGGAGCTTGCCCAGGGTCACAATCAGTAAGCAGTGGAGCTGGGACTCAGAGCCAAGCAGCCAGGCCCCAGGCATGGGCACCATTGTCCCTGACACTGTGCCACCTCTGCTGAAGGAGAGAGGATTTCCAGGCGGTGTGATGAGGGGGTCAGAGGATCTGCAGGTCCATCCAGTTCTCCTGGAGGTCATCACGGTCCTTGTCCTGATCCTGCCCATTCTCCATCCATGCCCCAGCTTCACATTTGAAACCTAACTAGGTTTTCAGTTTAGAAGATTTTACAGTTCAACATCCTGCATGACTAGTGTCTTAAATTTGGCTTTGGGTGACCTCAGCCATGTGACATTTGGCAATAAAAGAAAGTTCTATGCTCTCAGGTAAGAATTTTGGGATTTGAACTTGAACTCTCTCTTTAAATTGTCCACGGCTCTCTCAGTTATTCGTGTCTTCAGAAGTACCCATCCTACCTGCAGTTGGAGCCTTTCTCTTTCCCTTAAATTGGTCTGTGGAAGCAATTCCCTGAGCCCCATAGCTTTTGTCTTCCATGAAGATGGTTAATTATTTGTTGCACCTCCATGTGTCGTGGGCAGCTACTTCTCCAGCCTAGAATAGAAACCCATCTCATGTTTTCTTACCCCATGTTGACCCAATTCTCAATGCTCCCTATTTCTCTGAAACTCCGACTCCGGAGAATTTAAAAGGGCATTAATTTTAAGGGTACTAAGTATCTTTGAAGGAAAAATTTAGCTACCACATCTCAGGAAGGGACAGGACCTAGAATGTTCCTGGCCATTGCTATCGGGATGTCTCATCCTATCATCTGCCCTTGGGTGAAACTTTTATGTGGAAGGATCAAACGGGGAGGCTGGCTGTGGTTTGCACTGGCATTGCTGTTTGTGAAGCTGAAGCCTGGAACAAAACAAAATTCTTAAAAGGAAGGAAATTATTGTTATTTTTATTTATGTCCTGTCTACTTTCGGAAATTATTGTTATTTTTATTTATGTCCTGTCTACTTTCAAAAGGTCATTGAATGAATCACAGTTCTTTTGTCATCTGATATGTACTAATTTTGCAATCTAGATAGTCTTTACTATGTGTGACTTAAACACAGTATAATTATACCAAAAGGTCATTGAATGAATCACAGTTCTTTTGTCATCTGATATGTACTAATTTTGCAATCTGGATAGTCTTTACTATGTGTGACTTAAACACAGTATAATTATATTCCATCTAATGGTATTTTGTTGGTGCAGGCCTATATTTTTTGCAACATTTTAAATTTTAGCGTGAGGCACACTATTGACATTTAATGACCCTCGTCTGGTACCTCATGCACTATCTGCATTTAAAGAGAGTGCTCTTGGTTTTTACTATATATGATTAAAAACTGAAATGTGTCTATTTTTATATTTAATTTTAGGCCTAATAATCTGTGAAAAATACTTAAGACTAAAAAATTATACGTTATAGATTTTTAAATTATTTTTGTGAAAATTGCCTTAATTCTCTTCTAGATTCCTTAACGCAGAATGTATTGATAGTGGTGATGATGATATTAATATGTTAAGCCCTATCAACTTCCCCAAAGAAAGGAATCTATGTAAATATTGACAACAAAATGCATCTCAAATCTAATTTCAACTGGTTTCACTATAGATAGTCAGTCCCCAAATCTTTAAAACAAAAATTTAGTTGGTGTTAATACTAACCATTAAATTTAATCCCTGAGGTCAGGCACTGGCATCAGTGTCCTAAAGGCATAAATAGTCTAATGGTACCTTATGAAACAGGAGATGGTCCATGCCAGGATCCATGGTCAAATCATGGCTGTGAAATTGTCCAGGTAGCTTATGGGACCCAAGTTTTCTTTTATGTCTTGTTGTTCTTATATAACTTCTTTTTTTTAACTTTTATATTTTCAGTCTTCATTATTTCTTTTTACTATTATTATAGGTATTATATAATTAATATTTTAACCAATATGAGAATCAGTTAGCTCTTATTTATTGTAACCACTGAGATTACCATCTGCTTTTGTTCTATTTTGCATTATCTTTCCTTGTTCTTTTTTTCTTTTGCCATATGGGTAAAGTGCTTCTCCTGTACAGATGAATGATCTGGCTGGTCATATGAATGGCTGGGTTAGGATTCAAGACATTGCTTTATTGTATTTGGACGTTTAATATTATGGAGAGTGGGAGACTAAATCTTTTTCTTCCTTTGCAAATGATTTATTGTTTTGTTTTGATTTCTAGCTGACTGCTTGTGATGCTTTATCCTTAAAAATAGAAATTTTGCTGGGATATAAACGAATGTTTTCCTTTTGTTTATTTTTTTGGGGTACTTGGTCTTTTTAGTTTCTACACTCAGATCTTTTTCAGCCTGAGAAATATTTACGAAATGTTCTGCTGTACTCTTATTTTGCTATTACCTTATTTTATATCTACTATACCTTTATACTTTGTTCATTTGTCCTGTCCATTTGTTGGATCTGTACTTTTTATCTTTTATTGCCTCTCTCTCCACATGCACTGGGTGATGTACCTCCAGGCATCACTTGTGATCCATAGCAGCTAATAGGTGTTCCAGTCTGCTGCTCCATAGCCTGTAGCCTAGCCTGCTTTGGACTCTTCGGAATGCAGTCAGGCTTAGGGTGTTGGCCATTTACTTCCTATCAGGAAAATACCCCCCATCTCCCTGCCCAATTTCTGTTTGATTTAATTACATGGGCAAACTAGGAGCTTTTGGATCTGCTTTCAAATGCTGCTCCTTGCGTTGGTACAGTACCCAACCTCTCCTCTTCTCCTCATCCTGCTGAACTTAGGAGCAAGCATGGATGGAATTCTACAGGCTCCTTCTTTTATTTCCCAGTGATGCTGCATTTTCTCAGGAAAGGGAATCAAAGGATGATGCCATAGCTTACTCCATCGTATTCCTTATTTCCAGTTTCTAAGTGGGTTGTAAATGCATTAGATAAAAGCAAGAAGGTGAGGATAGGTATTTATGTTTATACTGTGATCTAAAGCAAAGTGTATGACCTTTCTTTTATATGTATATACACACGTATATATACATATCTATGTGTATGTATATCTAGAGAGAGGGAGGGGGAGGGAAAGAAGAGGGGAAGTTGTATTGATAAAGAAAACCAAAAGAATCTACAAGTGTTGCATCTGAACCTGCACTTTGGCTGTTTGGCCGCGTGACACCATAGGACTCATTTTCCTCATGTGCTTCATCATCTCTCTCTGATCTCAGTACTCAGGACACACATTTTCTAAGAATTCTTTGTCAGAGTAAACTGCAGTAATGCAGAGTTGGATTTTCAAATCAGACTCATGACAGTGAGAGCTCCTGCCTAGTATCAAGCATTATGAATCAGCTCAAGGGCACAAGTCATCATGAGGCCTGGGTGAAGCCAAGAGAGGTCCAGGGCTGCCAGTGCCATGCACCAGGTTCTTTCTGGCTGCATTAAGATGTGCTCTGACCCCAGAGCAACAGAACAGGTCTCTAGGGGATATTTGCAGGCAGATCACTTTTCACAGAAGAGAGCTGCTTCAGTTATGGGATTGCTCGTTTTATGCTCTGGCAGTGATGTTTTTCTGATGCCCTGTCTTATAAATCCAGAGATTCCAGGATTTGATTTCAAAAAGCCACCAAAACAGACCAGATGCAATCTGCTAAAGGTATTCCGTAGCAGGACTTTCTGCTATGTTGAGCCAGGAGATCTGGTATCTTCACATTTACAAGGAGATCTAACTGGATCTCCCTCCTAAAGGAAGAGAAGGGATTCCAGGAAATGCCTGCTAGTAAACATTTCCTTCCCCAAATCATATCAGCTTTGTCTACATTGTTATGCTCCAGCTTATGTCAATCATGAGATTTGACCACATTATTATGTGTCTAGTTCACTGAACACGTAGTTAGAAAAATGGGAGAAGCCAAATGAATTAAATGTACTTTCTTATTTTAATGCTGAATGATTGATCCTAAACATAGCCTGCCGATAATATCAAGTAAAATATCTGCAGATATTTTATAAATATCTATCATTATAATTTGTGCTGAGTTATTTAAATAAAAGAACATAAGGAGTATAAACCTCATCCTGTGGGTTACAAATCATTTCAAAATTGCTTTCAACCAAATGCTAAAAACAGTGAAATCAGCTTATTCTTACTTTAACAGTCTTTTGATCTACTTGCTTGGCATTCAGTGATAGATTTTGCCTATAATTATCTTCTACATTAACTGTTTAAATGCTGTGCCTTATTTTTATTTCCTCTGTTGAGTAACATATCTCTTCTGAGGTTTGTGAGATACAGCTGTCAGACTAAGGCAAAGCACAAAGTGTTGGTGTATACAATACACAGGCACAGTTAGATGAGTATTTTCATAGTGTCTTGAAAGGGAGGTCATGAAGACACTGAGATCTAAGGCAAATCGGCCTAGCCACCATCTTGGTCATCCTCATTTCCACTTCTTTATTACCTTCCAGACGTGAGCCTCTATGTCTGTTTCCTTTGTCACTCTAGGGAAGACGAGCATGCCCTCATCCAGCAATACTGCCAGACACTGGGAGGGGAGTCCCCGGTGAGCCAGCCACAGAGTCCAGCTCAGATCCTGAAGTCAGTCGAAAGGGAAGAACGTGGAGAACTGGAGCGGATCATTGCTGACTTGGAGGAAGAGCAAAGGTGTGCTATGCCTGCGAGAAGAAAATAGGAGGGGAGTCCCCGGTGAGCCAGCCACAGAGTCCAGCTCAGATCCTGAAGTCAGTCGAAAGAGAAGAACGTGGAGAACTGGAGCGGATCATTGCTGACTTGGAGGAAGAGCAAAGGTGTGCTATGCCTGCGAGAAGAAAATATGCCATCCTTTCTTTTACACGAAGTTCCACGTGGCCCCAACCCATTCTCTTTTCAGAACTGTTGTCCAGGAAGTCACAGCAGAGTCAAAGTTGTAGAGAATATTAACAAGCTGGGGTGCTGGCTGCATATATGGCAGCATCTGGGGCTTCTGTGATGATGTCTGTTAGAACACTTGCTAAAGCTACAGTTTTATTCATGTTTGCTCGTCATCCCCTTAATACATGTTTTTACATAAGTAGAAATAGTAGCACAAGCTAAATTTAGAGCTCATAGACAATTTTGGAGAGCAGACAACATACACAGTAGTTAATTCCCTTTTTTCCTTTTGTCTATTAGAAACCTGCAGGTGGAATATGAGCAACTGAAGGAGCAGCACCTGAGAAGGGGGCTCCCTGTGGGTTCGCCTCCAGACTCCATCGTGTCTCCTCATCACACGTCAGAGGATTCAGAACTTATAGCAGAAGCAAAACTGCTCAGGCAGCACAAAGGTCGGCTGGAGGCTAGGATGCAGATTTTAGAAGATCACAATAAGCAGCTGGAATCTCAGCTCCATCGCCTTCGACAGCTGTTGGAGCAGGTAGGCTGTGCAGAATTTAGTGTCCCACCTCCTGGGGGCTTGGTCCTGGTATCCGTGGAGGTAGTGGGGTCCACTTTCAATTTCTCACCTCCATAGTTAATTTCAACTGGCTTAGAAATCCTTTTTTACCTGTAAGCATTAAGCTCTCACTGGGACAAAAAATGTGTTTGACCAGCTTATGACAGAATTTTCCATTCTCCTTTAACACTGAAATCTATCTCGGGTCTGAATAGTTTGAGGAAAAAGATCTGTGATGTATGTCTGCCTAAATTACATATGGGAAGCATCTGTGGAGATTAAGAGATACCAAGTAACCTGAAATCTGCATTCTAGAGATTTCTTCCAGTGAGCCAAAAATGCTTACTCTAGAAATCATTATTTTCTATTTTCAAGAAATTGAGTAACCAATGGTTATTAATTTACTACTATTATTTCCTAATACTGGGCCATGTTTTATGGCAGTTGTTTGCAAACTTTCCTGAAGGTAAGAAATACAGTTTCCATTATGATGAATACATGCATGTACGATAAATACAAAGTAATACTTTCCTTTATAGAGAAATGCCATCTCTTATTTTCTGTTCTTTTTCCTTCCTTCCCCCCTTCCATTTTTATTCTCGCTGTTTTTCTTTCTTAATTCTGGTCAGAACCTACTAAATTGATTTCATAATTCATCAATGGATAATAGCTTGCAATTTTTGAAAAACGTTGTTCTTTGGGATATAAAATAAGCATTGGATGGGCTTTCTGCCTTTGTGGTGCCTTCAATCTTGTTATAGACCATAACGAGATAGTATCATATACAACAAGATAGTATCATAAATAAAGACAGAACACATTGTAGAGAATTAAGTATTTGATTACAAATAGCAGTTAAAGAATACGAGCCATGTCACACAACTAGTAACAAGGAAGCCTTTACACTAGGTGCATATAGTGCAGATTCCCACCAAGGGGGCCAGAAACTCCTTTCTCTTGAAGAATCCCTGACATCAACATTCATGTCATCTTTTGCCCTTTTCTCTAGTCTGCCATGTGGGGCCCCTAGGCAGTATAATAGGAATGCCTTTCTGCAGAAATAATTTATTGCATCAAAGCAGAAACCACTTTCTTGCCAATATTTTCTCAAATTTAAGAAAACCATCTTTTCCCAGTTTTAATTAAACAGTGTCTTTTTAATTGTCAGAATCATTCAAAACAGTAACTAATACTTCTGCATTACTTATATAGTGGGCCATAGGTCTCTTCTTATAGTTTGAGTATATGCTTTTCTCTATGTCTATCACTAATTCAGAATTTGTCTTGTGGGAGGTTTCTTCCAGGACCTCTGAATTCTGCATCTTTAGAAAATAATACTTCTCCAGGAAATATAGTGGGCCATAGGTCTCTTCTTATAGTTTGAGTATATGCTTTTCTCTATGTCTATCACTGATTCAGAATTTGTCTTGTGGGAGGTTTCTTCCAGGACCTCTGAATTCTGCATCTTTAGAAAATAATACTTCTCCAGGAAAGACCCCAAGGCCTGGCTTTCTGTTAAGCTCTGTAGAATATTTGATTCTTAACTCAGTGCCAGTCACATAAATTGGAAAAGTACATTGTAGTGAATTTGAAGTTTCTAAGTGGTGCCCATGTAAGGGACACATTTTTCTCTTTCAGTCTCTTATTTAGAATATGAAGTGTTAGTGTTAACAACTTAGGGCATAGATAGGATCATCGCAGAATGAAAACTGTGCTCCAAACCTTTGTTTGCTGTAGCTTGTGCATGCTCTTAGGAGAACTAAAGCTCTTCTGCTCACCCTCACCTCCTCCCACTCCCTCTGTCCCATTAGATGGAGCTGCATAATGGCTCCTGAGCCCTTGGATTTGTGCAGTAATGCTTTTAGAGATAACGGATACCTAAATGGCTCTGCATATCCCAGACTGTAGTAGAGCTCTTATCTCTTAACCGTTTAGCATGAATGCCAGAAGTAGATAGAAAATTCAACTCTGATAGTAAAAACTGACAAAACTACCAAACTTCAGCTCGTATAGATTTAATGGAAAAATTCTCATCCAAAAAATTGTAACTTCTGCATTCCCTATACAGTGGATCACACTTTCTAATTTGACTATATACTTGTAAACATATCCATCACCATTTCAAAGATTTGTGTGAGTGCATTTACGAAGTGTTTACTAGGTGTCAGACTGTTCTGATCGCTTTAGAAATAGTAATTTGTCACCCCCCTCACAAAACCCAATGGCACAGGCACTATTATTACCATCCTCATTTTACAAATAAAGAATCTGAGGCATAGAAGATTATATAATTTGCCCAAAATTACACAGCTTCCGAGTGACGGTGTTGGAAACGGAATCCCAGCCACCTGAATCCAAAATCATGCTCTTAACTACACTCTCCAATATTGTCTTTGAATATGAACTGATTTTGAAACTGCATAAATTTACTGTATTAGAAGCCCAATGCTAATTTTTTGAAGATGAATAAGATACATTCCTAATTCACTTTGTTGACATTAAAATAGAGAGAGAGAAATTGTGGGATGAAAATGGCACTGACAAATAAATCTTGCAGTAAAAACCAAGAGAGTTCGTCAAGGTGCCGAAACAGAAAGGGAAGGACCACTTGTGCACCGGTGTAGTACTGGGGCTCCCACCCAACTGATGCTCAAGTGTATTTGAAAATGCCTAATGACAAAGAGCCCTGCATGATTTAATTACCTATGATGAGGGAAGGAAAGTTAAAGAGAAACTATTTTCCTTAATGTTTTTAAAAATTCTTTCTCTGCTTTAACCTCTGAATGTGATTCCAGCCTGAATCTGATCCCCGGATCAATGGCGTCTCCCCCTGGGTTTCACCTCAGCATTCTGCACTGAGCTCCTCGCTGGATCCGGACCCCGGTCCACAGCTCCACCAGGCAGGTGGGTGTCCCCAAGCTGACTCTGACCAGTCAGTTTTGTGCTTTACCATTTATTTGTCTTTCCTTTTAAATAGCATTCTTACACACTGGTGCCTTTTAGCATAAAAGAGTTTTGTATTCTCTTTTGTCTTAGATGAATGCAAATCCATTTTAGCAATATCTAAAAAGCAAACGTTTTAGGATAATAAGCTATAATACACTCACTTATATGATGTGTAGTAGTTGACTGAGTTTTGGTGAAAGATGAGAAGAGGGCTCTTTCCTTTTGAATGAGCAAGAAATTCAATTTTTATTTGCTTTGACCATGATTCTTTTTTAGTACATTTTCTGTCTCTAAAATTTCACACTTGTGCATATTCAGAACATAATACTGAAGAATATTGTGCCAAACATTACAATTTTCTCTGCCTGGGCCTGGGAACTCGTTTATTTACTTTTCCCCATCCTAGTCCCTGTAGATCCTGCCCTGTCTGTCCCATCTGAGGTCTCACCTAGCCTGTCATGGGCCAGAATAGCGACCTGTCACTGGTGCTAGGACTGACTCTGTAAACTAGGCATTCAGGAATGATGTTTTATTATCAATGAAATTCAAGTTCTAAAGTTCTACGGAGGACCACAGACTGTAAACAAGTTAATTTGTTTGTGGAGTATCTTTTGGTACATTAATTAGAAGAAAAATTAAAATACAAATATTTTAATTTTTTTAAATAAGAGAATTATTTTGATTATCTATTGTTAACTAAAAAACACATCATAGTAAAAAGTATCTTATGAGATACTTTTGTGGCAGGATAAGCCATGCTATGCTAAAGACTACAAAAAGAAAGAAGGGAGGAAAAAGAAATTGGTAGAATATTTTTCTTGTAGGAAAAAAATACTTGTGAAGCAAAATAATGGATTTCTAACAAATACATTGAAATAATATGATTATATTACTTATATTTCAGTCTTGTATTTTTCCCTGGTGCGTGGATTCTTTCTACACAAACATCTGGTACATTTTAAGTATATAAGTTTATGTTACCAACAAATTAATAAAAAAATGTTTTTGATATTTCTCCTTAAAATTGTCCTCTGCAATGAGAACTCTTTTCACATTGATGTTTAGAAGCTGGTAGTAGTGTTTTCTTTTGAAGTTGGGTGTTGGTGAAGCCTAGACATTAATTTAGAAGGTCTGTTCTTTTTCTGTGCTGTCACAGGAGGAGAGGATGTTCTGGCCCCGCCTCATGACACCAACACGGATCTCACGGATGTCATGGAGCAGATCAACACCACGTTCCCATCTTGCTGCCGTAAGTCTCAAAGCCCATAATGCCATCACCAGGCTTCTTCCTTCCCTTTCTCTTTTTTCTGAATGTGGCCTTTTGTTTTCTTTGGTGGGGTAATGAAAACCGATATTAAAACAGGATTGGATAGTATTTGAAAATAAGGCAAACGTTATATATGTTGACAAAGAAAATAAAGCTCAATCTAGGTACCATCACATCATGAGGTGCAGTGACAGCGTGATCTCACTGTTTGAGATTTTTCAATATGCCTTAGGAGTGATAAAGTGAAGACAAATCAAATAGTAAGTCTGATTTTAATGTTGACAAAGAAAATAAAGCTCAATCTAGGTACCATCACATCATGAGGTGCAGTGACAGCATGATCTCACTGTTTGAGATTTTTCAATATGCCTTAGGAGTGATAAAGTGAAGACAAATCAAATAGTAAGTCTGATTTTTAGAGGAAATTATCCTCTTCAATGCAAGCTATCATCAGACACGTGTATTACTTCAAAGAAGAGCTTTTAGTGGCATGCCAAAGAAGGCATGAAAATAGCCTTTCTAATGTAATTCCTTCTCTTTTCTTTAGACAGTGTTCTCTGATGTCATCAGATTCTGGTGCGGAAAGGGTTTATTTTCAGATTTTCCTTTTCCTTTTTTTTTTTTTTCTCCTGCAGATTTCTTTTCGTACAGAATTAAATAGTCATTGTGTAAAGGTCCAACAATTTAAGGCATCACGGATTATGACCCTATGAATTTTTCCACATGAACAACCAAGAGCCAGAAAATAACCAATAATAACAGTTCAAATCCCAAGGGAAATTATATAATGATTCTTACTTATTGATTTTTCCAAATGTTTTGGCTCACGCATCTTACCACCTTACAGTTTCTGCTGAGCTCTCTCACCTGAAACACTTTGGCTGTTTCAAACAGAAACAGTTTACTTTTATATACATACCCATACTACTTGATGCTACAATTACATTTTAAATAATCTTTTTTAAAAAAATACAGTTATTTATAATTTGGGGATGATTTCCTTTCAAGTTACTTTTATATACATACCCATACTACTTGATGCTACAATTACATTTTAAATAATCTTTTTTTAAAAAATACAGTTATTTATAATTTGGGGATGATTTCCTTTCAAGTTAATTTTAAATTTACGCAGTCACTAAACTAAGATTTTATATTAAGCATAGACTCTCATTTCATCCTTTTCTGTCATCTCCCCAGAAAATACCACCATAAATGAGGAAAAGATAATGTCAGTTATCAAGAATATAAATAAATAAGATGTATTGACTTCATTTAAGAAAGTTATTCTTCATTTTATACCACTCTACAGTTCACAAAATGCCATCATTAGCAGAAAGTGACCTATCCCTTCCCAAATCCCCTCCCTGTCTCCCAGATTTCTATTATCTTTTAATTCTATTTTTCCACAAACTTTATGAAGTACCTTGTATTTGCAAATCTGTCATTTTCCAGGTTTTTATTTGTGGTGCTTCTATTCTGCTTCTCAAAGTTTGCCAAATCATATTTACTATATGTCAGTCCACACTCACCCCCCCAGGCAAACACAGACACACGCCTGTGCACACATGGACACACTTTTGGCTCTGTAGAATCTCACAAAAGTTCAAGAGGATCAGTCAATGTCCACATGCTATTAGATTGTTGCTTATTTTCTAGGCTCAGTAACCACTATAGAAGTAATGGATGAACAGATTAAATGTTTTACCTTCATTATAATACAAGGTTGAGTTTTTTTTTTTTAGAGGTTTGGTTCTGAGTTGTCTGTTACATAATGGCTAGATAAAACCTCATCATAGTCTTTATAAGCCAGAGTTTCAAAATTAAATTTCTAAATAAAATCACGTTTTAGTTCTGCTTATACCTAAATATGTTAATAATTAGTTAAGAACAAATTCTGTAAATCAAAGCCAGTTTAGAAGTTTTTATTTAAATGTCATGGTGGACATTTTCAATTTAAAAGTCAGTTGGCAGTGACAGCCAGGATGGGAAATATGTTTAAGTAAAGGCCTTGCAATGAATATAAAATGTATAATTTTCATATTAAAAATTTTATGCTAAAAATTCATGATTTTTTTACAAGTTCCATTTTTAAAGTACTTACTCTTAAATCTTTCTCAAGGTATATTTTGATATCTAGATTTGTAAAAGATTGATCTGTGTTATGTTTTAAGACAGAATATAATTAAAATTAATAGAGCAAAAAAGGAATCTTAAGAGATAAATGTGTTCATGTTATGTTATGATCTCCCTTCAAAGGCAAGTGCAGAATTCCTATTGGATGGGAATCTTATTAGCTATTTGTAGGTATTGGTTCCTGAGAAGGTTATGTGTCTTCAATGCTGCCCACATCCCAGAGGTTAAACCTCTTCTTTGCTTTGGTTCCTCTTTGCCTGTATCATTCTCAGGGTTGGAGGTAGTTTTATGGAGCCCTGAGATTCTTCAATGAGAAACTGGCTCCACATTCTCACAGTCATAAGTTTGCACATCCGCAAATATTTGTAATATTTATAGTTTTCTATGAATAAGTATTACTAGCTGTGTGTTATTTTGGTGAATTCAAGTTCATCCCATGTAAGAAATGATGAATAGTGTATTTTACAGTCCTTTAAAATTTAGATATTATTTTTGGCTTCTGAAATTTCGGTTATTAGTTTGGGTTTAGTTTACTGTTCTTGGTATTTATATTAGTATTTTGCTTTAACATAAAATATCTAAGACAGGGACAGCTTTCTATAAAAATAAAGGCTTAGCTGACTTATTTATAAAGTTGGTATATATTTTTAAATTCTGCCTAAAGTTATTAAACCTTTTAAAAATTGATGCAGAATAGAAATCAGTATGTACCATAGACTCGGTGCCCAATACGTGTTTCTGAATAGAGTGAATGAATGAATGAGTGATTACTAACTGAGAACGTTTAATTGTTGAAGTTTTTCTAGATAGTACTCAGAAGGTTCTGTAGGATGCATTTGCTTTATTGTCCCTTTTATATTGCTAAGCCAGCAAATATTTTAATAAGCCTTCGTAATTCCCGAAGCTTACTGACCACCTTTGGAGGATTTATCTAAACAAATCGGATTGACACCCTCCCAATGCCAAGCCAATCCCTTGGGCCCCTGTAACTAAAGAGAGCTTTAAAATTGCTTGTCACCAGCATACAATGAATTGATCTGCGTGTTAATCTTGACTTTTGATCCTTGGTGGATTAAAAATTAGCATGGCCCAAAATGAATTTCCACTCCTGGCAATCTTGCAATTAAAATGAAACTATGTATTCATAAATCCTAATTGAATGAATTGCTCACTTTAACATGACATTTTTAAAAACTGCGTCTACACAGTGTTGCGCATACACTTTAAAATTCCTTCAATCTGAATTAATATCCCAGTTGGTCCTTATAGCATCCTTGAATTATGGCCTTTTAAAGTCTTTTTAAAAATTATTTACACTGCGTTTCAGAGCAGAGAGGTAGGCATTTCCATCTCTTCCTGGCAAAGAGTTAATGAAAGGAATTTAATTGTGCTGCTTGATAACTAGTGTACATACTAAAATCTCCACTGACTGCTGTAACTACTTCTTCTTTAGTATAAAATTTTTTGTCACTTTTTTCATTTATGTCCTTTGAATGTACGGGATACTGGTAGTAAACTGAATAATTTTTGGTGATAGACCAACAAATGCTTTTAAAATTATTTTTGACCCACAGGCATATTTTCACCGTGAATTGCCTATGTTTGTTAAGCTTGAATGACATTCATCAAAAACTGACAACCTACTAAAATGGAATGATTTCCTGATTTCCTTTTAAAATATATTTGTATGATTTATTTAGGGGAGTACCCATAGCCTTTTATTTGATCAAAAGCCGTAGAGTTATAAGTATTGTTTTGAAGCAAAATGGATTAGACTTCTGTCTAAGGTTTAGCTATTTATTATATTGGTTACTTACAAGAAGAGCATAACTCTGCCTCTTTTAGAAAGAGTATGTAAACTAAAGGTGTAGTTAATAATAATTAATCTCAGCTGGCCCCCCAGGTGTATCTCACATATGTGTGAAGGTCTATCATTTTTCTCTGGTGCAACTTATATGCCTGGTAGGAAAAGGCTTCTTTTAGTCTGATCCTACCTCCAACTATTGGGGCTCACACTTTTCCTTCAGGCATCACAGGAAGTTCACCCTTCACGCCTGATTTTTTTTTCTCACAAAGCTACTGGCACTCAGCGTGTGGTCACTGATGTCTTTTTTTTTTTTTTCCTAAGCATAGAAAAACTTTTTTTCTCACAAAGCTACTGGCACTCAGCGTGTGGTCACTGATGTCTTTTTTTTTTTTTTTTTCCTAAGCATAGAAAAACGAGAGATGGAAGGGTTGCAACATGCTAGATGACTAGGAGAAATTCTTATTTGACCGAGAACAGATGTTGCCTTTATTAGGGAAGCAGATCTTCTCTTTTTTTACCTCTGTATTGAGCATGAGATGATTTTGCAGAGAAAGCAGGGGTGACAAAACAGAAGCCTTGGAGAAGCCATTTGGTATTAGCCACCCTTGTAAAGCCTGCCAGATCATTTTCACAGTCATGGGCTCTGGAATAAGGAAGAGATTGAACTGCTGGGGGCAAAGGCAAAATATACTCCATATTCCAGCCATTCCAATGCTTCTAACTGGGTTCATCCAAGGTACTATCATTAGCCCAGTGTCTAGAAGTCTGCAGAGAACCAGACCAGACTTTTCCTTGAGGCAAGCACTTGGCCATTATCTAACCTGGCCTTCGGGGAAAAGGCAGACCAAGGGTGGCAGAAACCAAAGACTCATACTCCTAATGGCCCCTTGGCCAGAATTTGTACTATTTGGCAAAGTAAACAGAACTTGCTCTGTTCTGAAACATAAACCAAATACATGGCATGATTGAAATAGGAAATTTTCAGATGTTTTGCAAAACTAAGTGCTCACTGAATGCTTTAGTGTGTACTTATTTGAGAGAGCCAGAGTATGTTTTACATATTTTTTGTGGAATTTTTGTCTTAAATCACATGGCATATGAGAAACTAACTGGGAAAACTAGCCCTTGTTGAAGCATTTAGCCGGGGGTTGGTGGGGAAGGGTGCAAAAAAGACTTTTTCTAATTTTCCTGTTAGCATCCATTTAACAGCTGGGCTATTCCTACTCAGAGTGGTACATTCTACAAATCTCCATGCCTGAAAGCTGGCACAAGCAAAGTAACAGTACTCCCTTTAATTAATATCTTTTTTTTTTCTTTCAGCAAATGTCCCCAGCAGGCCACAGGTAAGAGTTAATGGGTTGATTGGCTCAATCATTACTGATTGCAACCTAAAGTAGATTAGCTAGTACTGATTTTAGTCCTACTTTATTCTCCACATAAATAAGTAAACTTGCTTGTCACTTAAGTGTTCAGTGATTCCATCTGACAGTTCATCAGTCTGGGGGCCCAGGGACTGGAACGAGGGGCTCCCAAGCCACATTCTTCCAGATACCAAAAATACCATGTGTTTGATCTTCTGTGTTCTAACAACTTTTTAACAGCTTCTTATGTACTATATAAAGTCACCCTGGATAGATTTGGCTGCCCACTGTTCTCCCAAATGTCTGCTTACCGTAACTATCATAGAACATTGACTTAAAAAAAAGTGACTGGTACTACAAAGATGTTTTTGTTACTTTGAGATGGAAAGGGTTTCAATTTTTCATTTACTGATTTGCTCAGAATTATTGGCAGCTATAGCCTTATGCCTTTCAGTATTTTCCTTATCAGGTACTCATAGTAATAATGTGCCACAAGGCCACAGTAGATCTTTGAGGAACATTTTCTTTCCTGAACTTGTTTATTAATATTTTTGAAACAGTGAACCTATGTTATTGTCGTATTGGCAAGAGGGGCTGGGATCTTTTCTGGAAGACCAGTGGTTGTCCTCTTCTGATTGCTTATGTTGTCTTTGTGAATTGGAAGCTGGGAACTTCAGTAGGGAGTGAGGTTGGAGTGGGGGGTGTCACACCCACTCTCCTGCTTGGAGAACAGGAGAGCAGAGGGACCAGCATTAAAAGCCACCACTTAAGGTACCACTCATGAATTTAACATGAGGCCAGTCTGCAGTGCTGTGTGTTGCCTTCCAGCAACATTCAAGTTCATGAGCACAGGCACCAGAGTGGATTGAGAACCACATTTAACCAAAGTTGAAGTTGTGGCTTGGCCAAGTGAGTACAAAGCATCAAGGAAAGAAGCAAAGAAGTGATTATAATGATTGAACTAGACCCTTAAGGTCAGTAGCAAGAGAAATGAGGAAATGTCTGGTGTGGGAGACAGAAAACAGAGGGGAGAATCAAGGGAGTATAGTACAAAGGATGGGTGAAGTTGGGGTCCTAGCGGAAGTAAGCTGAAAAGATAGAGGTGGTTTTCAGAAGGTGGGATGATTGAAAGTGAACTTTTGGTGGGGTTGCAAGGGTCCATATTGCTAATTGTCCATACTGGATCTTAGAGTGAGCAGCTAAGAAGGGTGGAGGATGGGGTAGTTGGAGATGAGGGTCAAAAAATCTCAAAGAACCCAGAGGGTTAGAAGAATCATCTGTGTGAGTGTTGAAATTATCAAGGTTTAAAAATAGCTTTGATGTGGATGACATCGAGCCATTTCTTCTTTAAGTGAGAGAACATGACCCAAGGGGTCAGTGGATGAATGCATAATAGGTTGGGATAATCTGATAACATGAGATTCACAGTGGGGTGTTTTTAGGAAGAGAAAGAAGATTCCCTGAAAGCCTCAAGGAGGACCTAGGAAGAAACTCAGGCAGTGTGTGAGGAGAATGGGAGAAAAAAGTTATATGGGAGAGGGTTATGGGAGAAGCTGTGTCTTTGGGGAGATTTGGATATTGATTAGAGCAACGAAGTGAAGGCAGCAGTTTGAGAGGAGTTTGGGAATATGGGTTTTGCTGATGACAGACCATGTGATTCAGCGGGCACGGGAGGAAGGGTTTCAAGAACTAGGAAGATGGGGCCGGCCCGGTGGCGCACTGCTACAGTGCGCCGCTTGAGAGTGTGGCGGCGCTCCC